TATTATATAATATATTAAATAAAAAAATATGTCGATTAGTATCTATCTCACTTATTTAAAAACCGTAATATTACAGTGAGGTGCAAACCTAGCTGTAGAATATCATCAATTTACTAGATTTCACTTTATGACTAAAAAAATGAAAATCTAAAGCAGAGAAGCAGCTGAAAGTATTACAGGTGGCAGGGTGCTACACATCACACCGCTGTTCCTTTCCAAATGTCACACAAGTGGCGATCGCTTTACACAACGTGCCACGGTGGATCCAAAACTTCAATTCTATTCGCCACGTGTAACATCACGAAGATCCTCTGCTTCAGACTTAAACGCTCCCACTTTCCACTTTAGTCCGTTAAATTCTCAGTTTCATACATACTAGCTCTGAATCAAACAAACAAAATGAGTCAGGAACAACCACGAAGGACCCAGGAACCCATAAGGTACTGGGACGTATTCAACGTGGTGGGGGATTTGGCATCACAACCTATAGCACCGCAAGATGCAGCCGCCATGCAGTCAGCTGAAAACCAACTCCTGGGAAAGACACAGAGGGGGCGGGCCTGCAGCCGTGATAATTCTAACATCGCTGCTGGAGATGGTACCCCACGAGTCGGCATATCTAAAGTAAACAACGATGGCAACGTTTTGGTCACGGAAGAAATTACCGGACAGGTAGGTGCGCAGTATGTAAAACCAGAGGTACCAAGCAGGACTCCAGGAGCAATTGATCCGGATGCAGTTACAATTGGCTAAGCTCTAGAGGCTGCGGCGCCGTCTAACGGCGATAGGCCGGTGGACCAGAGTGATGCTACTGCTATACAAGCGGTAGAAATTGTTTGGCAGAAGTTTCCAGTTCCAGCCCATGAAAGTCCAACCCCATTTCTACCGTCCTATTGCAAAAGGCTGTAAGCTACAACAGCCATTGTTGAATATTTACAATGGTTATTTCAACCATTGCAGATAAACCTCATTTAATGAGGTGAAGAAAAATTACATGGGTAGTTGGTTTCTCCATCTATAAATACCCATGCAATGGCAAGGCAATGGGCAAGAAAGCAAGAAGCAAGAGTGCAGCACCAAGAGAGCAAAGTGAGAGCTCGGGGTGAAAGAAAAAAAAGGGGTGAGAGCTAGGCATTAAGCTTAAGTGTGAGTGTGCTCCATAGAAAGAGTACATTGAGTGATAAAAGTGTGAATTTATCAAGATTATGATCATATCCTGAGGTGGAGTGGGAAACACCAAGAGAGAGAAAATTCTTGAGTGTATATTTTATACAATTTTATCGCATAATAGAATAGCTTTCGGAGTTTATCTTGTGATTTTTCCCTCAATAGTTTTTTTGGGGGTTTTCCATGTAAATTTGGTGTTGTCATTTTATTTTGCTTATTTTAGTTTCTTCCTAAGTGGCTGGTTAAATCGTCCAATTTATTTTGCTTAGCTGGTGACGCCACCTTTGTCACTAATCATTAATATTGATTGGCTAAGCCGCCTGTTTCACCATTCTTTGTTATTGTTCACGTGTTTTGTTCACAAGAATTAGCTTAGTGATCTACTACGTCATTTTTTCCAACAACTAGTATCAAAGCTAGGTGGTGCTAATATTCACATGAACAATGGAGGTAAATCAGAGCAAAATGATCATGCTGAATAGTTCAAACTATCAGTTGTGGAAAGGAAAAATGGAGGACCTTTATGTGAAGAAATTTCATGAGCTTGTCTTTTCAAAGCAAAAGCCAAACAGCATGAAGGATGAAAAATGGAGGCTGTTCCATAGGTGAGTGTGTGGATTTATTTGGTAGTGGATTGATGATAGTGTGCTAAATCATATCAATGATGAAACTAATGCACACACACTATGAACAAAGCTAGACGAGCTTTTTCGAGCGAAGGTTAGGCAGAATAAATTGTGGCATATAAAGCAATTGATGTTCTTAAGGTACAAAGATGGTACTTCCATAGCAAACCATGTTAATGATTTCCTTGGCATCATCCAGGAGTTAGCCAATTTGGGCATAAAATTTGATGATGAGATGAATGGTCTGATTCTTCTCAACACCTTGCCAGAATCATGGGAGAGTTTTAGATCAACAATGATCAACTCATCTCTTGATGGTAAAGTAACATTGGAATTGGCCAAAAACAAGATCTTTGAAGAAGAAAAAAGGATGTGGGCACTGAGAATCTTTTCATAGTTAGATACTCAAGTTTTAGTCATGAAGAATAGGGGCAGGAGTAAAACCAGCGAACCCAGGCGACGAGGAAGCAGATCCAAATCAAAGTCTAAAAGTAGAGTGAAATGCTATCATTGTGGCCAGCCATGCCACATGAGAAGGAATTGCAACTTGTTGAAAGAAAAAGACAAGAAAAAGGTTGAAGATAGCAATACTACCACTATAACATCTACCAGTGGTGATGACGTGACTCTATTATGTGATCGTGGGGAGTGCTGCAACGCAGAAAACTCGAATGCCGAATGGATAATTGATTCTGGTGCCTCTTATCATTGTGTTCCCAAAAGGGAATATTTTTCAACATACAAAGTAGGAGACTTTGGCACCAAAAAAATGGGAAACAATAGTGTTTCTCATATTATAGGAGTTGGTGATAGTTGTGTCTAGACAAATGTTGGATGCACATTGACACTAAAAAATGTGTGACATGTTCCTGATATACGTATGAATCTGTTGTCTGCAAAAGCACTAGATGAAGAAGGATACACACAGTACTTCAGGAATGGTAGCTAGAAACTCACTAAAGGATCAATGGTGGTGGCAAAAGGGAAAGCATGCTGCTTATTATACAAGACACACATGAAAATGTGTGGAGGTTAACTGAACACAGTTGAAGATAAGACTTCTCCAAATTTATGGCATAATAAATTAACTCACATGAGCGAGAAAGGATTGCAACTTTTGGCTAAGCAGTCCCTTATTCCAATTGCCAAAAGTGAAAATGTGAATCCTTGTGATATTTGCCTATTTAGAAAGCAACACTGAGTTTCTTTTCAGAAGAATTTGACTTGGAAGGAAAACAAGCAAGACTTGGTCTACTTTGACGTTTGTGATCCCCTGAAGGTAAAGTTGTTTGGTGGCAATAGATATTTTGTTACCTTTATTGATGATGCGACTCGAAAGACTTGGGTATACTTCTTGCAGAATAAAAGCCAAGTTTTCAAGTATTTCCAGCATTACCATGCTATGGTGGAAAGGGAGACAGGTTTGAAGCCGAAATGTCTTCGTGCAGATAATGGAAGGGAATACACCTCTAAAGAATTTAAAGACTATTGTTCCAAGCATGGGATAAGGCACGAGAAGACAGTTCATGGCACTCCACAACACAATGGCATTGCAAAATGGATGAATCGTACCATTATGGAGAAAGTTTGATGTATGTTAAGAATGGAAACTCTACCTAAGCCATTATGGGGTGAAGCAATCAACACAACAATGTATTTGATCAACTGGTCGCCTTCAGTTCCTTTGAACTTTGAAATCCCGAAGAAAGTTTGGACAAGAAAAGATGTTGGATACTCTCACTTGAGAGTGTTCAGGTGCAAAGCATTTATGCATGTGCCAAATGAACAAAGATCAAAGTTGGATGATAAAGCCATTCCATGCATTTTTGTTAGATTTGGTGATGAAGAGTTTGGCTACAGACTATGGACCAAGAAAAGAAGAAAACTGTCAGAAGTAGAGATGTCGTGTTTCATGAACATGAGAAAATTAATGATTTGAAGGAGGAAAAAGCTACAAGAAGCTCTAGACAAGGTGTAGAAGATTTAACACCGACAAAAACTCCTTCAAGAGAAATTACAAATGAAGAAAAGGTGCAAGTACTAGAAGACGAGATAGAGGAGCCAACAATTGAAGAAGATCAAGCAAGTGTAGATGGAGGAAGTAATGAGCAGGGGGAGCAACCCCAGCCAAAAGAGGAAAAACCTCAGTTAAGAAGGTCCACCAGAGAGCACAAACCATTTGCAAGATACCCCAATTCTGATTATATCTTGATCATCGAAGAGGGGGAGTCGAAGAACTTCCATAAGGTATAGTCTCATAAAGACAAAGACTGTTGGATAAAGGCCATGCAGGAAGAAATAAACTCCTTACATAAGAACAATACTTATGAACTTGTAAAACTTCCCAAAGGAAGAAAAACCTTAAAGAACAAATGGGCGTTCAAGCTCAAGAAAGATGGTGATAAGATAGTTAGATATAAGACTTGACTGGTGGTTAAGGGCTTTAGTCAGAGAAAAGGGATTGATTTTGATGAAATATTTTCCCCGGTGGTGAAAATGAGCTCAATTCAAGTTGTGCTCGATCTAGCACCAAGCATGAATCTTGAGCTTGAGTAGTTAGATGTGAAAGCTGCATTTCTCCATGGTGATTTGCATGAGGAAATTTATATGGATCAGCCAGAAGGTTTTGAAGAAGAAGGGAAGGAAGGTATGGTTTGCAAGTTGAAGAAAAGCTTGTATGGACTAAAGCAAGCTCCAAGACAATGGTACAAGAAGTTTGATTCTTTTATGACGAGTCATGGCTATAAAAGAACAAATGCAAATCCATGTGTCTACATCAGATCATTCCCTAATGGCAACTTCATTATCCTTCTGTTATATGTTGATGATATGTTGATTTTGGGACAAGATGTTGAGAAAATTTGCAAGTTAAAATTGGAGTTATCAAAGTCCTTTAACATGAAAGACTTGGGACCAGCAAAACAAATTTTGGGTATGGCTAGTACCTGTGATAAAAAGGCTAGAAAGTTGTGGTTATCACAGGAGAAGTATGTTGAACGGATGCTTGAAAGGTTCAACATGAAACATGCTAAGCCAGTTAGCACTCCTTTTGCAAATCACTTCAAACTAAGCAAACAATCTTGTCTAAATACCAAAGAAGAAAAGGAGAAAATGTCATCTATTCCTTATTCTTCTGCGGTTGGTTCATTGATGTATGCAATGGTATGTACACAACCAAACATTGCTTACGCTGTTGGTGTCGTGAGTAGATTCTTGTCTAATCTAGGCAAGATTCACTGGGAAGCTGTTAAGTGGATCTTCAGATATTTGAGAGTAAATACAAAGTTGCATTTGACTTTTGGGTAGACTGAACCAATTCTAAAGGGATACACAGATGCAGACATGGCAGGTGACCTTAATAATAGAAAATCTATTTTAGGGTATTTGTTTACTTTTGCAGGGGGAGCTGTATCATGGCAATCTAAATTGTAGAAGTATGCTGTCTTGTCAACAACAGATGTTAAATATATTAAAACTATAGAAGCTGGTAAAGAGATGCTTTGGATGAAGATATTCCTTCAAGAATTGGGATTGAAGCAGAAAGAGTACATAGTATTTTGTGACAACCAAAGTGCTATAGATTTGTGCAAGAATACCATGTACCATGCCTAAACAAAACATATAGATGTGAGATATCACTGGTTGCGCTTGGTGACATAGAACAAGCAATTTCAACTCAAAAAGATTCACACAGGCAACAATGTTGCTGATATGATGATGAAAGTTCTTCTTGAAGAAAAGTTTGAATATTGCACCAAGCTGGCCGGGATGGATTCCAAGTAAGGAGTCGGGATTTAAATCTCTTCCCATGGGACTAGAGGGGGAGATTGTTGGCAAAAGTTTCCAATTCCAGCCCATGAAAGTCCAACCCCATTTCTACCATCCTACTGCAAAAAGTTGTAAGCTACATTAGCCATTGTTGAATATTTACAATGGTTATTTCAACCACTACAGATAAACCTCATTTAATGAGGTGAAGAAAAATCACATGGGTGGTTGGTTTCTCCATCTATAAAGACCCATGCAATGGCAAGGCAATGGGCAAGAAACCAAGAAGCAAGAGTGCAGCATCAAGAGAGCAAAGTGAGAGCTTAGGGTGAAAAAAAAAAAGGGATGAGAGCTAGGCATTATACTTGGGTGTGAGTGTGCTCCATAGAGAGAGTACATTGAGTGATAAAATTGTGAATTTATCAAGATTGTGATCATATCCTGGAGTGGAGTGGGAAACAACAAGAGAGACAAAATTCTTGAGTGTATACTCTGTACAATTTTATCACATAGTGGAATAACTTTTGGAGTTTGTCCCGTGGTTTTCCCTCAATAGTTTTTTTGGGGGTTTTTTTACGTAAAATTGGTGTTGTCATTTTATTTTGCTTATTTTATTTTCTTCTTAAGTGGCTGGTTAAACCACCCAATTTATTTTGCTTGACTGGCTACACCACCTGTTTCACTAATCATTAATATTGGTTGGTTAAGTCACTTGTTTCACCATTCTTTGTTATTGTTCATGTGTTTTGTCCACAAGAATTAGTTTATTTCACTGCACCATTTTTCCCAACAGAAATGAGACCTTTCAAAGTTATGCAATCCGGCCCAATCGGCAGCCACACAAAATGAACGAACAATGCTAGACGAAGACAAGACCAAGCTATCGGATGTTTTATCTGTATTTTTCTAGGAGTTGGAATTTCCTCCTTAAACCAAACAGGATCTAACTAATTCTACACAGTTTTTTATTATTATTGTTGTTGTTGTTATTGTTTTTGACTGATTAAAATGCATTACTTTGAGCAGGATGCTACCTGGAGTTGCCGGCGGAGAAGCCAGTGACGAACCAGGTTGCTGAAGCTGTGATAGTAGTGGAGCTGAGGAATAAACCTGACATGAACAGCACCCCAGTTGGCGTGGGGGCGACAATGGCGACAGCCGCTAAGATAAATTCTCAAAACAAAACGATTTGAAGCCTGTCCTAGAGAAGGAAAGTGGAGGCATTGGGGACCTTGTGGTGGTGGTGGATTGCACGGTGACTAGTTAAGGATCTGGATATGCAGCTTGGCCATTAAGATTATGGTTTTTGGGAAAAAAAAAATATATGGGCTGATCAGGGGTAGGGGATTCCCTGATTGGTCTTCTTAGTAATTCCACTAGGACTAGTCTTTAATAATAAAATTCGGCCGACTGTTTTGCTTTATTTTCCTCTCTTTTGGTTATGTTAGAAATTTATGCTTCATCTTATAAAGCTTTATAAGATGACATATGAATACTGGTGTGATTCTGTTCCTTTATAAAACCTTTAATTTCCATTTATACTCTTTTTATTTAAAAAAATATATATCTTGCAGTCCATTAAATAAGGGACAGGTCCTTTAAAGTATCCATGGTTCTATGGTTCTAGTTTTAGCATCGGACTAATGTTTTGATTGAGCAGCATAATTTTAAGTTTCATTTCCATGTCGAACGTGCTAAATAGTTGAAGTAGATGTCTTGTTAAGCATGAATTTATTGGAATATAAGCAAATAATGCTAATAACTTAAAAAACTTAATAGTAACATTTTTTAAATAAAAATAAGACATTTTAAATTTGATTTGCATGACATGCAGATGAAATAAGTTAAGGGATGAAAGAAAATTATTTTTTATTGTATAATTCAAGATTAAACAAGTAATTATTAGGAATAAACTCAATTTAAATCAGTTATTAAATTTACAAAGTTAATTAAAAAAAGGGTGGTAAACAAATTAAGTAATTCAAAGATAATTTTTTTTATAGAAACAAAAAATTTTAAATTTAAATTATATGATATATAGGCAAGGTAAATTAGGAAATAAAAGAGACCTCACATTTTGCAACCTAAAATCAAAAAATAAAATAAAATAGAATTGGGTGACTAGTGAAAATTACAATTAAGTTTAATGACTAATCGTGTACTTTAACCTCTTTCGTTTTCAACAATAAAGGAGGGACGCGTACGGTTACCGGAATCCGTGGTAAATTAGGTCACTGGACATGAGGGGCCGAAACGTTAGTTGTAAAGGTCGACCACGGTGCAACCCACCATGTGCTGGCTGCGACCTTTTAATGGTTTGTTGGACCACCCTTGTTAGCCTTCCTTCGATTCAATGCCAGAATTTAGATATACCTAAGCAATCAGAAGCCTCTCTGGAGACCCATTTTCTCAGGCATGGATGTTGACACTTGCCCTTTTGTCAAGCCCATCTAAAAAATGTAATAATTATATTTATTTTGACTGATTGTTATTCATCTAGAGGTTTATTGTTAGTTATAATATATAAATATATTCATTTTTACATTAATTTTAATTTATTTAATAATAAATATAAATTATTTTATCAATTAATAATTATAATTATTAATTCTTTTTAATAATCTAATAATATTTTAAGTAACCTTAACAAAAAGTCTGCAGCCATACCGCTCCCATGAAACATGATATCTGTTCCAATTATGTGTCAATGTGATGGGCACAATTCACTTAACCAAGTCGACCTCATTGCATTCAAATTCCATATTATAAACAAAATCAACAATAAATTTTTTTGAGCAACTAAAGTCTAAAATCAACGCATGAATTAAATGCTAGAAAAAGATGGAACAGAAGCATGCGTGTAGTAAGAAAGAATTGAATTGAATCAATTTTTTTGCAGGGAAGAAGCGAATTTTCGCCCGAAGCCGTCTACTCCAAGCCCTTGCCAAACCAAAGGAAGTATTCTGACAACTCGCATAAGGTATATTGGTATGATCTCATACTTACAGGGGAGTTGTTCTAATACCAATTAAAGTGATTCAGGTTGAACCTTGTCACTGAGTTTATTAGAGATTAATCTCTATATTTATATATTACTCATAATCATATTTTCCTTTCCTTAAATGGGAGATTCCAGCATTACAAGCATTAAGTATATTTGTACTTATACTATTATAAAAATATTGACATCAAGTTGATAGGCACAGGCGCTACAAAACTTATCATTTAATTTGAACTAGTACGTGTGCTTATTATTTTTTCATTGTCTGTAGATTAAGCGTGCTTATTGTTTGAAAATTACATTAAATTATAATTAATTTAGAATTGAGTTGTATCAGATTTTATTTATAAAAAAAAATTTTAGTATTTGTTTTTTTATTTATAATATTTGAATTCAAAATCTTATTTGAGAAAAAATGATTCTCTCTACTTAAATTAATAAATTATTGGTAAAATATATTTATAATTGGATTAATTTTAAGCATGCCCAATTATTTTAGATTAAACTCCCAAAAAGTGGTCCCTGAATGCTTTGAACTATTTTGGTTCTTAAACTAAATTTTGCGCTAAAGTTATCCTTGAACGTGCAAATTTTGAACCATTTTAATCCTTAAATAGTACCATTAGTAAAGGCTGAATTGGCAAAATTGTTCCGTTAAATAAATAAGGTTGGCAACTTTCAAACGATTCTCAGATAAGATCACTTACTCTAATTTTCCAAAATAAAGTCACAACAAATTTCAATTTCTTACAAGTAACCAAATAAACAAGCAACTTCTTATTTTGCTGAGAAATTTGATTGTTCAGCAAATATTTTTTCAAAAAGTAGTACTTACTACCTGTACTCGGCCATTCATAACGTGCATTATTCATAATAAAAAATATTTTTAAAAATCAACAATCAATCATTCAGAGTCATCCAGGTGTACGTAGCATTTCTTTTTTCTACTGTCAATTAAACATTTGCCTTCCATTGCATATTTTCAAAATAAATAAATAAACTTTTGTCTTGTCCACTTGAGCATGTTACTTTAAAACACGCGCAAATTGAAATTACTGCTTGAAATAATTTGTGAAAACAGTTTCTCTCGCACCACAATTTATAGAGCTTTTCATTTTCCTTCACTGTCTCACTCTCTTCATCTCTATTTTCTCTCACTTTCTCTATGATCAAACATAGAGAAATGCTGCCAAGCACGCTAAGGAAAAACTTCAATCTCTGTTTTACCAAGATCAAACGTCCCCTCAATCTTCAACCCTCCAATAATACCTCACCAATGTCAGCCGATTACAGCCGTCAGTTTCCCTCCACCACCGCATCAATCCTCTTCACAAACATCAACTCTCTGGACGACCACACCTTTGACTCCACCGCAAAATCTTGTACTCTCAGCCCCTCCTCCGAACCTGACATGGATACGGAATCCGAACCCGATTTTGCCACCGTTTTATCCTCCGAGCGCTTCTTCTTCTCCTCCCCCGGCGGCTCCAATTCCATCATTGATTCATCACCATCGATTGCCACGGCGGAATCATCTGAACCCGGAGCCACCGACGATGATCAATCTCTCCAAATCCAATCTGGGAACGCTCCAACCGTTAATGACATCGTTGCTGTCTCCACATTCTCCCGTGACCCCTTCATGGAGTTCCGGCGGTCCATGCAGGAGATAGTGGAAGCACGTGACTTGGTCGATGTGAAGGCTAATTGGGACAACTTGCACGAGCTTCTTCTGTGTTATCTAGCATTGAACCCCAAAAGCACGCACAAATTTATCACCAGAGCATTTGCCGATCTTCTTGTTAGTCTCATGGTAGACGGTGGCAGCATCCAGAAAAGAGAGTCATCGAACGGTGGTCGGAGCATTCCCGAACAGTGTACGTGTAACATCGTGTGATGATGATAAGAACATGATTTCTCATCTTGATATAATTAAATTTATTTTGGCAATACATACACGTAAAGAAGCAAAGCGGTCCCGCCTGCTCTGTTCATGTCCAGGACCATCTTTTCTATCTTATCTTTTTTGCGCAATCTTCTTTGCAACTAATCTTTTTTCTTTTCCAAATTACGATAGCAAATCGGAAATTAATTCAATTGCCTCTAGAATTATTCATCGGGTCCCACTCAGTTAATTTTGGTTAATGTGTAATCTAAATTATAAAACATAATTTTAATGTAAAAAATGATCACATAATTACCCATAACAATAATTATGAGTGACTCTTTCTAACTTTTACCTGTGATATATTTAAATAGATTGATATACTTTTCATTTTTTTAATACGGTATGATATGGACGTTGTGAGTGTTCATTTGAAATAACACGGTAAGCATATTAATTTCGAAGCAAATTTATGGGCTAATTTAACTTTATATTAGAGAATCACCTAAATTTTTAGATTTTTATATAATATTTTTTCTTTTTAATTTTAAAGAAAGGAACTTAGAGTCATCCTTCTATCGTTTTGATTCACTTAAAAGAATAATAATAATAAAATAAAGAAAGGAGCAAGGCATTACGAATAGGAAGAATCTTTTGCATGAATATGCAGACAAGTTTTAGGGTTAAAGGCATCAGTGAAAAATGTATAATCAAATAGAGACAGAAGCAGGGGCTCCTGATTTTGTCTATTTAATTTGTTTCCCAAGTGCGTTTGTTGTTTTTAGTCCCGAGGGTAAAGGACATGGGAAGAGTAATAAGGAAAAGTCAAAATTGATATCTAAAATGAGTAGATGCAATGGCCCTGGTGCGTCTGTGCAACCATCTTGTTTATAACGTGTGGATGCCAATTAGCTCCCCGGTTTGAGGCTGCTTCACAGTCCCAAGATTTTTTTGCTGCACTCTCTGTTCAAACAGGTTATCTTCAAAATTTTCTTGATTGTACATGTACTTAATTGTTATAATTTATAATGTGTAAACTTTTATTTATATTTATTCTACATAGAACCGCCAAAGTTTGAGGATCTCGGACGTGCGGAAAAACATATTAATGGATATTGAAGGACCGAATTGATTAGAGTACCGAAGACGTACTCTTATCGGAAAAACCTAACCAAGTTAAATTATAAAATAAAAATTATTAAATTATAAAATAACTCTCCGTGACAAAGTATCAATTTTTCAATTAATGATTTAAATTATACAATTCAGAAACATTTTTTTAAAATATTAAAAAAGTTAGAAGAAAAAATATTAGACAGTTCAAAACTATATAATGTAAACTATTAAGGAAGGATTAAGCGCTTGATTTGAAAAAATTTTTTATTTAATAATTTTTATTTTATAATTTAATACAATTTAAATTATAAAACAAAATTTAAAGTCAAATTACAGTAACGCGAGCCCTAACTAGGTTTCATCTATTATATAGCTGTGATGGTAGACCTAATAATTTTGGATTTTCATTTTATGTTGATTAATATACCATCAGGAGCACGATAGTTCGCCAAAATTGCTACCTTTTAACCATCCACCCTTTGAGAGCTCGGAACTTAAGCTAATTTGATTACCAGGCGGGCAGCACCAACACTGGAAAGAACCTCTTTAGCCTATTTTTGTATAAAATTATAAATTACATGAGTAGACAGATCTAATCAAAAGTGCTGAGAAGTTGCTAATTGCACATGGTCTAACTCCAGCTTTTGCAGTTGATGAAAGGGAGATGCCAAGCTAGACAGCAGTGCCAGTACCACACTGCCAGAGGATCTGATACCAAGCAGAATTTGACTCCTGGACCTGGCAAGTGGGGTGAGGTGGGTAGAAGTAAAAACTACCCCTTGTGGTGCCCAAAGGACAGAAGGAGACAGCTGAAACAGAACTGAGATCACAATCTAAAAAAAGATCTAAACCAAATACCTGTTGTTCTATAATGAACGTAAGCTTCAATCTTGGCCAAAAAATATGATGATTAAAACCAAAAAAAAAAAAAAAAATTCTCTGCAATCTTGCAAAGATTGCTCTGGCATACCACATTCAATCAGTATGGTTTTCAATAATCACATTCCCTGAATCCAATCAACCATGTTGTGACTTGCTCAACCCAAGATGTCAATTCCAGAATTTGGTATCTAATTGCAAGCCTAATGAATATAACCACGCCTGAAATGTGAACCAGTCTAAAACAGCAATTACTAAAAATAGCCATCGACAAACGACAGCTTGAATTTCTCAATGAACCTCACCTTTCTATGGTAGAAAATTGGTGAACACCTGCAAACTGCAATAATTCCAGAATGTGACTCTGCAACTGCTCACTTTTGAGAGCAATGCAAAGTATCAGAAGACAGGTGATTATCAAACTCACTCATATAAGAACTTCAGATTTAATATCACCAGCTAGAAGACAAATGTTATAACTGCAATAAGTTATTTCATGATCTCAACTTCAAATCTCCTCAACTTACATTCATTTCTTAAGAACACAATCTCACGAAGACTAACATTAGTGAGAACAAAATAGAGGAGACGCAATAAGAATAACAAAACTGATAGATGCTCATAGTGTACTAGCCTAGGAAAATCTTATAGAAAAAACCCCTAAAAATGATTGGTAAGAACAAGAGACAGCACATAAAAGCCATGAAACCCAATTATCGCTTCTTGGACACACCAACAGTCTTTCCCCTGCGGCCAGTGGTCTTGGTGTGCTGTCCACGTACTCTAAGACCCCAGTAGTGACGAAGACCACGGTGGTTCCTGCATCATGATAAAAGAACATAATACCATCAATAGATGAGCTAAAACAAATCAATAACTATAACATAGAACAAAGATCCACAATTTCTAAAGCATATGATATGAATGAGCAATTTTGAAAATAAAGGCAACCTAAACAAACAAAAGAGAACCTGATCTTCTTCAAGCGTTCAAGATCATCTCTCAGCTTCATGTCCAGTGCATTGGACACAACCTGAGAATACCTTCCATCCTTGTAATCCTTCTGCCTGTTGAGAAACCAATCTGGGATTTTGAACTGCCGAGGATTTGCAACTACAGTCATGATGTTATCAAGCTCTGCAGCCGATAACTCACCAGCTCTGCAAACAAAGCCAAGAGTCAAACAACATATCCAAACATATAGATGACTAATATCAGAAAACGGTACTAAAATGATCAACTTTCAAGATACCATCTTTCTTTCACCAAATAAGAGGGTAAAACTAAATTCCTGCTAAAAATACTTTAAATCAATCTACATAACAATTAACAGAACAACAGCTATCACTGATTCATCTTAGCTAAGCAAAAATTAAATCCATAAATAACCCAAAAGATTAAATGGCCATAGACAAGAAAGCTTC